GAACTAACGTATTTGTTTTTATAGGGATTTGAGGGAGAACTACTGCCGAAATCCAGATGGATCTGAATCACCCTGGTGTTTTACTACTGACCCAAACATCCGTATTGGTTATTGCTCCCAGATTCCTAAGTGCGACGTATCAAATGAACAAGGTAACGGAGGGAAGGGTGATAACATGATTTTAAATGAACGCTGTACTGTTCCAAATGGCAGATAGGCAGGCTTGAAAAATGGAGAAGTTGGTCTCAGTACATCTGTATTACACCTGTGTAGTTCCATTTTGGCTTTATTTGCATACTTGGGATTCATCATGGTGTAAATGAGATTCATTTCTCAGTTCGTGTTTTGATTCCAGCAGGGAAAACTGCAACAAAGTTTTGCTATTGGATCTGATTTTTAGACAAGGTGAATCTGTGTGCTGTTTTCTGTTAGCTGGAGATATGCTCCACTGTCTTACCTTTCTTAGTTTGAAAGGCCTTTTTCCAGAGCTGAGATATTTCCTTGGTTCACAGTCTTCTTATAATTGCATATGAGGCCACAAAGAGTGATTTTTTTAGATTTATTTTTATTTTTATACTCCCTCATCTAAAAGGAGTTGAGCTGAAAAAAACACATGGGACTTCCCATATAGGCTCTTAGCTTCAAGCTGTTACCTCTGCCTGTAAAGTCCACTCTGAGTCTTCAGGCAAATGTTTTTTCCATGAGGTCTTGGTATTACTCTAAGGAGTATCATTGCATTCTGAGAACTGATGTCAATCATAGCATAAACTGAGCCTAAGACCTCAGACCTACGACACTTTATCAGATTGCATTAAGTTCTCCATCTTTAAATTTTAGCTATTTTTTTCTGTTAAAATTTGAAAGAGTTGCAGTTGCAAGAATTATGTCAGAAAAAGGATTAAACTTTTACTTTCATTCTGTGTTTTTTATAAGTATCAATTATGAAATAGAAAACATACTGATGAATATGAAATGTAATGCTTTCTACAAAAAGTCTTTATAGTAGTGATCATTTTAAACAACTCTCTTGAAAAGTCTCAAAAAGGCTTGTGATAAAAGCTTATGAATTAAATATGACTTCTGCTGGAGTGAACAGGCAAGTTATTGAATTACATTAAAAGTAAAATCATGTTGATTTTTTGATTTTGCCGCAGTAGTACGTAAGTCTGGAATTATATACTGTTGCCAGTATCCAAAATCTACAGAAAGGTGAATTGTTTCAAATGGCCTAAGTGTACCTGTTTTTTGAGGAGGGAGGAATAAGGGGGCATTTTTGCTTTGTTTTGTATAAAACAGCTCCTGACAACTTTTAGAATATTCTGTGTGACCTTTCTAAATTAACACTAAACTATTTACGAAAGAAATTTTCCCAGTTTATCTAGGTAAGACAAAATTTTGAATTCTACTGTGTTGAGAATGAAGGTCTCAAGCAGGAGATTATGTATCTAAATTTGGAAACTTTCTCACATTTTCATACTGATTTGATTTATACAATTGTCTGATTTATATTGTATAATGCTTGCTAAATATCGCACTTGTCTTTAATTATTTGATTATTGATGGAAAGGATGAGTTTTCAATGTTGCACAATCACCCTCCACTTCTTTTTGTCTCAACACTCTATTCAGATTGTTATCGTGGCAATGGCAAGAGTTACATGGGGAATTTATCCAAGACAAGATTTGGGCTAACTTGCTCCACATGGGACAAGAATATTGAAGACTTACGTAGGTGTGTACATATGAAACAGAAAGAGATGGTTCAGTGAGTCCTGAATAAATACTGCCTCCAGATGGCATCTCTTTTTCCTCTGCAGTGATTCTAAAATAGCCCCTTACGCTCTGGAACTTTTAGTATCTTTTTTGTTTTCTTTTTTTTTTTCATTTTTTTTTTTTAATTGGTATTTAAATATATTACACAACATGTCTTTGTTCAGGCTAACCACTAATTGCAGGCTTTGGGATGTTTCTTAGTGTTTATCTTACTGGCCTGGTTTACCCCATCTTTGTCTTTGAAAGTTTGGTTCTATGAGAGGATAGCAGAAATAAAGTAGGAAACAGTTGTCACATCAGTCTGATCTCACAGTTCATGCCACTTTGAGCAGGAGGTTGGACCTGAAACCACCTAAAGTCACTTGCAGCTTGAAATTGAATCTTGCGTCTATAACCTAAAGATGCTGGCATCAAATGCCATTAAAGAGGCTTGCAATTTCTGTTGTTTGTCATTACTTTGTCTTCATATTCAAGTAGTGGAAATGGCACGTTACTTCAGTTTATTTGTTAAAATAAAAATGAATCGGCAGTAAGTACAAAAGAAGTTGTGAGTTTCCAAGACTTTTTCAATCATGCCAGGATCCTCAGTGTTGTCTCTGCTGGTTCAGACCAGTAGATTAACTAATCTCGGGAGTGACAAGAAAAATGACTTCCAAGTACCACACAGAGATTCATCAAAAATTTTGCTATGTATGTGATATTACTCACATTAGGGGCCCAGGTGGAAACAGTTTTCCCTTTGTTTTCCTTTAGTTTCTGAAGTCTACGCAATTATGTTTATATTACCTTTGGTACTTGTTGTTGAGTTAGTGCTTGTGTTCACCATAGTCATAGTGCCCAACATATTAGACGTTGCCCTCTGGAATTTGGCTGTCCCAGATTCCTGTTGCTGATGGTCAGTGAGATCAAGGTGTGTAAGTCAGTAGGTCAGGCTTTGGGGAAGCTGTATTGCAAAAGGCAGACTTCAGTGGCACTGTCTGGAATCACCAACTGGACTCTATGTGCTTTTTTCCCACACAGGGTCAGAGACAGCATAGATATTCCAGTGTGCTGTCCATATAAGGGAGAAAGAGGTTTAAGATCATGACTTCTGAGAGCTCTGATAAGTCTTCAGTAATCTGTGAATGAGACAGCTTGAACCTACTGGATGCTTGATGCAATTACATTCATGTAATCTTCATCACAGATCAGCCTTGCTTCTCTAACTCCCAAAAATTTTTCATCTGGGAACTTCTTTGGGGAGTGGTCTGTCTCACTCCAGCAGTTACTCTTGTTATGGGTGTGCTAGAAGAAGCACACGTGGTTGGGTATAAACTAAAAGAGCAGTGCAGCTGTAACTGAGGAGCCTGTATGCTTCTGTTTGACAAGCCAGAAATAAACATCTCTCTTTGCACCAGATTTTCACTCCAAAATTACACCTTTAAAGTGCTTCCTGTAGGTTTGCAACTTAGGTGACCTGTCACTGCAGTTTGTCTAAGCCATTCATCCTTCTCCTTGCCTGCTGCTCAGTCTTGCTAACTTTCCTGTGTTTGTCTTTCCTTTGCCTAAGATTCAGCTTTCTTTGCAGATTCAGTCCTCCCTTGTGCTGTTCATCTGCAGGGAGAAGGTACCTGTGCTCCCAGAGAGGCCCGCAGATTTGCTGAGGGCAACACAGACTCTCTTCTAATCAGTACAATGATCACTTCTGAGGGCGTCGAGGGATTTTAGCTCAAGCGGGAGATCTAGAAACCTCCCAGCTGTGTGGTGGACACAGTGCTTAAAATAGCAACCAGACGAAACTTGGACCCAGATCCAGAAAATATTTGGGTCTCATCTTGTGTTTGATTTTAACCAGCCCTAAACCCTGACCTGTAGGCTTCTCAGTCAGCTAATATTACAATGTGGAGCAAAGCATCATTTAACCTTTGAAAATTTGGGCTATAGTATAAAGCTTTTCAGCACTTTGAATTTTTTTTTCCCTGTAGGCATATACAAATATTCAGAGAACCAGATGTTAGTAAACTGAAGAAAAACTATTGCCGCAATCCAGATGATGATTTTCATGGTCCCTGGTGTTACACAGATGATCCTCTTGTTCCCTGGGATTACTGTCCTATTTCTCGATGTGAGTACTTGGGATGCCTCAGGCATTGTCAACTGTGCAGTCCCAGTGAAGCCATGGTGTCGCAGGCATATTCATACCTTTCTATTGTCACTTGTGGCAGCAGAAAATGTGTAATTCTATCAAGAATCAATTGTGCATGACTGAGAAGGAATGGACAGAAGCTGCTTGTGCAATATATGATCAGGGAGTCCTTTTCCTTGACCAGCTTGGAGATTTCAAGGCTTATTTATGTAGCAGGAGCATAAAAGGGCTATTACAGATGGTCAAACATTTTCCAACAGATCTAGCTATTGAATGAGGGCTGGATGGAGACAAAGAATTGTCTAGTGGTCAGAATGCTGTCTGTGGCCTCGAGAAACCCGGGGACAGTTATCTTCTGTGCTACAAGCTTCATAATCTCTTTGAGTGATCTTTATTTGTTTGTAAATTTAGGATAAATCATTATATATATGCTGAAGTGTGTATGTGCTATATAGATTAGATTCTGTTTCGGATGTTTATGGGATGATTTAACTCCTGGCAAGAACTAGGAACATCACTCCTCCAAAGCTGCATGTTAATATCTAAATAGTTTAAATAAACAGAACTAAAAATCTGGGGATATTCAATAATAAACTGATGTTAAGTGAAAAAAGACAAATTTTTGCTGAAAAATGTGTGATTCACATTGATGTTCAAAATTTTTCTCTTCAATTCTTATTTCTAAATCACTGTGCTTTATAACCTAGGAGAACATTTAATGGTAAATCAGGCTTTTGAATGCATGTCTGTGATCTCTAGAGGTTAAGGATAATGTCACATTCATTCCTAGCAGCAATCTGCTGCATTTCCTCATAGTCTGAACTGCAGCACTTCTAAAAGGTGATATTTGAAGTCTCAGGTGATATTTTGGCATCTATGTGAAGAGTAAACAAACTGCACAAACCGTTATTTGTGTCAATGTAGGTAAAAAAAACAGCTGAAGAAATATAAACTTTAGTCACTCACTCTGAGTTCATTGTCTGAATCTATGTATTCCTAAGGAAGTATTCACAGCAAACATTTGTAGGTTATATGGTGAGTATTATGATTTCAGGAATCAAACTCCAAAGCTGGAATATGGCTGTTTTACAATTGTAACTCATATGGACTAGTAGCTCCCTCAGGTATTGATAACCAGCTTAACCAGTACAGACAAAATGCTGGCAGTTCCCAAGTGTATTTATTTGCTTGGTGCCTTTAGCTGGTCTCTTCAAACTGCACTATATACGCATGGAAATTTAACTATGTGTATAACTGTATACCTTTATTTTTATATATATATATATAAGTATATAGTTGCTTAATGATGGAAATCTAGTTGGATGAGATTGTTTAAATTTTGCCTGTGCAACTTTTCGGTAGCTGCGCATGTACCTCTAGCTTATAATTCTGGGTCACTCTGCAGACTTCATTGAAGGCAAAAATTTTGAATCAAGTTCAAGCAACTATGTTGTGAGTGTATTTTGACTAGGACTAGGTGGAAGAACCAAACCAGGTTCTGGGGAACACATTTTGATAAGGATAAGTTTTCTGATGGCGATATAAAAGGGCTTTTGAAGTTTCAAAGGTTTTTGAGGAAATTAGAAATTTTCATTAGATCTGATTTGGATTTAATCACAGGACTTCCATAGTTCCTGAAAGCTTATATAAGTCACAACTTCATTTTTCAGCATTTGCTTGCTCAAATGAAACATGTGAATGGAACATCATAGCCTGATGTATTCAGGATTCAGCCAAGAAGAAAAATGCTTGAAACTCCGGTTGCAAAATGTTTAATTCTTATTTCATTTTATTTCTTCTTCATTTTGAAGTTTAAAACTTTGTGAACTATGAAAACTGACAATATGCCATTTGCTGTTTATTTTTGCTCTGTTCAATTCTTAGATGTATTTTATTTTTGTATTATGACTATCTTATGTGTCTGTCTAGGTGAAGGTGATACAACGCCTACTACAACCAGCTTGGATGGTAAGTAAGTTTGCAGATGTACTGCATGTATAGTATCCTCTAAGATTAGCTGTTTCTTTTTAATTGGGAAACAAGAGAAAGATCAGTTAAAGATACAGAAAACCATATAGCTTGGGAAAAGTTGCTTTCACAACAGGAATATGTAGAATAGCTTTATACTCCTTTATCTATTCTCACTGTCCTCTCTAGCCAGGTGAGATATGGTAAAAATTTTCAAAGTTTGCTTTATAATTATATAAATCTCTGAAAAATCTGTTTAAATATATGTATTTTATATTCCCTATGAACATTTATATAGACTGACCCAGCTTACTGAAGCAGTTTTGATGTCTAGAAATATATTTCATTAGTGCAGAAAAGTTAATCCATAATAAGTATTGACCTTCTTGTGGTCCTTATGTGCAACTGTACAGGTTTCTACTGCTGTTTTTAGTAAAATGTGATCTCTGGACCTGCTTTCAGATACTGCCATTCCTTGTGCCTCAACAAAACATTTGAGAGTTGTAAATGGAATCCCAACACAAACTAATGAAGGATGGGTGGTTAGTTTGACATACAGGTAAATATCACTTTGATTAGAAAGGTAACATGTCTACTAGGATATTTGTTTTGGAACTGTAGAAAATGTTGACCATAATAAGAATACTTCTAGATTGCAGTTAAATTCTGTAAAAACAGAAAATCAGCATTTCTGGAACATCAGGTGGTTCCATAGTACTCACTCTGTCAGTGAAATATTTATGTGTTCATTATCACTAACTTACACGTGTGAGTCTGTAAAGCATTCATAGCATTTTGGTCTTCCAATTAACTACTGCAAACTTTTTCATGACATTGCCTTAGCATTTAGCATTAAACTGTTTATTTTAGAGACTGTTATGAAAAATTGAGTTTCATGTCAATATTTTCACTTTAACAGCAATGCATTTAGTTGTGAAGTTTTGGATTCAGGATTTATACCCATGTCAAATTTAGCTTTCTGCTCATATGATTGCATGCAATTAAAATGTATTCTGTATTTAAAAAATAAGCAGGAGCTATAAAGAAATCCTTTTCATTCTGTAAAACAAGACCTTAACATGTACAGATGGATATGTATATTATGTTATGGCAGATCTTACTTTGATACTGTGTAAAAGCCAGAACACAGAATTACTGTTTCCTGTGTTCATTACTCTGGTTCATAACTCATCAGCTGGAAGTGTGAATCATCAATGTATTACAGGACATATATCTCATGCATCAGCCTTGTATCTTCTATCATGAAAAAAAGAAGTTAAAAAAAGTCTTTTTTGGTGTGCTGGTACAGACAGAAGTACAGCTCAATTCTATCAGCTTATGATTCGTCATCTCTTTTAAAATTATATAAAATAGGTCTTAAATGAAAAATTGGCGTAAAGAAAAAGGTAAAAGCCTATTTTCTACCTTGCTTCATTTGTAGAGAAATTCTGGGGGTCTTTTCCATCCTTGGTAATCTCTGCACTTTATGAGATCCAATCAGAACTAGACCTTTCTGTAAGTGTAGTGGATGGTCCAGAAAGACATTTCTAGAGGTACTCCCTCTATCCCTAGAAGAAATAATCAGATAGGTGGGCTGAATCACTCTCTGGAAAAGTTTATCACTGTACTGTTTTTAAAGCAACCTTGATGTTTGAGGAACTTTTAGACAGCTACTGTGACAGCATCTGCATGCGTAAAATTTAAATAGCTAATATTAAGGTAGTTGAACCTGGGTTTTTTGCTATGCAACAAAATTCCATTAGGTAGATGAGTGCTTAAATGATTGCAGATTCTTTCATGAAACAGGGATTGCTAGAGCAGCAAAATATATTTTAAATTATTACATGTGGGCATAAAAATGTAGTTTTATTTTGTATTGTTACCAAGGAAGCAAATAGAATGTCGTCTGAAACAAAATCTTAATGACTTCAGGACTTTCTGAAAAAACTGTACACTTCGAAATGGAATTGCCTTGTCTGAATGGTAAAGGCTTAGTGGTACTCAGAAACTTCTATTCATATTTGGCCACCAAGGTCTACCTCTAAATGTTAAAATAAACAATGACATATTTTGTTATATATCCAATCCAGATTCTGTTATCAGGTATATTTAAGTATATTTGGCTGCATTACTGTAGGTGCATACTTCTAAAGCAGATGATGAAATCTCATAAATTCCTTTTAATAATTAGTGATGCAAACATAACATGGAAGAACACATTTATACTCCTGATTGTGACATTTTATAATAAAACTGGGCAGAATCTATATTTTAAAAAGAATCCAGCCTTTTGGACCAGATATTTTGTTCCTCAACCAAAATACAATTAAAAAAGAAAAAAAAAAAAAGAGGTAAGCATCTGTGTTATTCTGCTGTCTTTGAACTCCATATAGAGTCTGGGCTCCTTCCAGCAGTTCTTTGCAAAGCTTTGAACATTTGTGTGATTTGAATTTACAAATTGTGAGATTTTAACCTTTTCCCAAATTGCTGACAATTCTGATTCTGTTTCCAAAGAGCTGCAGAAAATAAATGTGATTTTGGAGGCACAAAGAAGGAAAGTAATTAATCTGCATTCCACAGTCATCTTTATTTTTGAAAGAACTGTCATGCTTAATTGCTTTAATTATACTTGATATATTATGCTGCAGGTTCTCTATAATCACATGTAGGATGTCATACGTTGCAGATTGTTTCCAACTGATGTATGTGGGGACAGAAATCTCATAGGGCTTGTAAGCAAATAGGAACTCTCCACCTTGAGGTCAATAATACTTACATGAATAATCACCAAATGGTTACATCTGGTGGCGGTTTGGGGACTCGCTTGAATGTTTCAGTCCAGTTCCTATTACAAAGAATTAGTTTGCCTCTTTTTTTTTTTTTTTTTCCTTAAATTATATCATTATTATTTGGAAACCACTAAATGAACAAAGTAACTAAATTTCTCTCTCCTCCTGGTTTTTGCACATAGGAGTAAATCTCTGCAAATTCATGTTACTCTAAGAGTTGAAACTATAGAGCAAAGGGACAGAGACATGTTTTTGCAGGCTGTCAACCACCTTTCACCAGCAAAAATATGGGGAACAAATGTTGGGGAGCAAAAGTACTCTTTAAACTTTTTAACTGTGTAGAAACTAATACTGTCTCTCTCCTCCTGGTTTTTGCACATAGGAGTAAATCTCTGCAAATTCATGTTACTCTAAGAGTTGAAACTATAGAGCAAAGGGACAGAGACATGTTTTTGCAGGCTGTCAACCACCTTTCACCAGCAAAAATATGGGGAACAAATGTTGGGGAGCAAAAGTACTCTTTAAACTTTTTAACTGTGTAGAAACTAATACTGTTTCTTTTTTTTTTTTTTTTTTTACCTTTTTATTTCTTCTTTTTTCCCCAGGAATAAGCATATCTGTGGAGGTACTTTGATAAAGGAAGAGTGGGTTCTAACAGCAAGGCAGTGTTTCCCTTCTCGGTACAGTAGTCTGTAGCTTTGCAAAATTGAAATACATCTATTTTGGGGAATTTATCAGCACAACACTTCTTCAACTTAAATGCAGCAGTTTTCCCTCCTGTTTGGCTTTAACACTGCTTTTTGGATATAAAAGTCCTGTGGGACCTTGGTATTTTCTGTTATTACTGTTGTTAATCTAAAAGAGCTCTGGCTATTTTACATAGAAGTATAAATATGTTTTCCAAGTGTAGTGGTTAGACAATTGCCTCTTTATAAAAATAATCTCATGCTTCTGCTTAACTGCACAGAGTAAAACAGAAAACTTGGGCAAATCTAAAAAAGTTCAAAGGGTCGTGCTGTCCAAGGATCTAAATGTTTGGACACTATTAGGAAACAAAAATAAAATTTTAGAAAAAGTTAAAGATAAAATTATGTAGTGGCTTCAGACCAATAACTTACATCTGAGCATGTTGATCTTGGAATAGCAGTTGGCAGCGTAAACCCATTTCTGGTGAAGAGTGTTAGTTAAGATCTTCTGGCGTAATCATATTAAGCTAAGTATTTTGAGTTATTTTATTATACACTCAGCAAAATCCTAACCAGCTTTGCCTCATTTAGGTACAAAGATTTGAAAGACTACAAAGCCTGGCTTGGAGTCCATAATATCAAAGGAAAGGGAGAGGAGAAGCATAGACAAGTTCTGAATATCTCCCAGTTGGTATATGGCCCCAGAGGGTCAGATTTGGTCTTACTGAAACTTAGCAGGTTAGTAGCTATTATTGCGAATTCCAGGATTTTCAACTGATGAATGAAATTATTCCTGAATAAGATTTGCAAATTCAGTTCTCCACTGACTCTGATACTGCAGATACTCCGTGGGGTAAACTTCCAATTGTAAGAAATTTTGCTTGGTATATGCAGAAATGCAGGTTCATCTACCTTACTCAGAAAACAGATGTTACTTCTGAAAAATTGTGCCTATATTTTTTTTTCCTGATAATCATGTTTAGATTTGTTGGGAGGCTATTTGGTTGGGTTTGTTCGATTTTTGGTTTGTTTTGTTTTTTAAAGGAACAAGCCACATCGACTTGTATATGTTTTTAATTTATAGATTAAGCACCAGATCGTAATTGAGATCCTTGTGTATATATGAGCTTTCAAACTTCCTGCATATTAGCAAAACTATGTATTCAAATGAAATGCCATCATTACTTACTTTTAAAATGAAAACCCAAGTTAAATAGCATAAAAGTGGTGACAGCATTTCAAGAAATCTTTTGACAGTTAACAGCTGTAGCACAAAAAATAGGTAGAAAAATCCATCATATTCTTCAAAGCTGGAAAAGAAAGGAAAAGAATTGGCACAGTTTTTAATTGCTGTGGTCTAGAACAGATTTAACGTAATTTTTAAGATACATTTTAGAAGGGTAAGTAAAATCCATTATATCTACTATTTGTTTTCTCTTTTCAGACCTGCCATATTGACAAATTTTGTAGAAATAATCCGATTGCCCATTTCTGGATGTACCATTCCAGAGAAGACCACTTGCAGTGTTTATGGATGGGGATACACTGGATGTAAGAAACTATTTTTAAAAACTAAATGAATACGTTGACAGCTTACTTCCTCTTGTCATTATAGGTGAGGCTGCTGGTACTGCCTAGTGCCACGGTTGTCCAACACTTTTTGTTATAAAATGCGGTTTAAATTTTTTTCTAATATTGTAAGTTTTTGAGCATTTTGTCTAAGATCATTTAATATGAAGTATTTTCTACTAGTACATCCTTTTCTTTTTTGTTTCAGTGACAGGAAAAATAATTCAAACATTTCAAAAAATGAACTAGACACAAATATTGTCCTACACGTTTAAAAAACCTGACAGAATTGTTTTGTGGCGTTCTAAACCTTTTTTGAAAAATTCCAGTTCATCTACTTGAGCAGTCTCTTTCTGTACACCAAAGTGGGCTGCTGTGTGGAAAAACTAATAAAGAATCATGTAATCAAAAACATAATTAACATACACAAAGACAGTGAGCTAAGGATGCACAGGCAGCAGTAAGTCTGGCATTTCCTAACTTTTGTGTACTTGACTTTACAACCTTACTAATGTTTATTAAACACAGTTTTTGTGTGAAGTAAATATAAATATGTGGGAGAACAGACATTTATTTAGTCTAGTAAATACTATATCTGGCTAATTATGTGTTGATGATAAAGTTAATAGATGCCAGTTGACAATAATTGCTCCAGTAATTACTGTGCTCGAATGTCATTTTGCCACAGCCCGAGTCAACAGCAGCAACATACTCATGCTGTCCTGGAAGCAGAGGCAAAACTAGACTGTAATTCTGAGGCTCTCTTCCTTGTAACCATTACTCTACATTTCTTTGTGGGTGGCAAGTAATCTGTACCAGCCCTCTCCCAGATGACTGCCTTTGATGTTCCCACCATGGCCGTATTAGCCATCCTCTGGGGGGAATGGCTGTCTGGGGGACAAAGTCAGGCTGCAGCACGGTGCAGCATCGCAGGAAAGCTTAGCTTAGGAGAACTGATAAGGAATTTGCAATATTGTGGAGTTATGTAATACAGTAAATACATAACATCTGTCAGCCAAGGACTTTGTGCTATATTTTATGCACTACTTATTATAATCCTCACAAGCATCCCGGGCAGGGAAGGAAGAAGTGTAACATCCATTTTTCAAGAAAACAGGATAGTATGTCAGTGAAGGGCAAACTTGGCATTTTCTTTTGATGGCTGTGCAGAGAATGGGCAGGTCCAGGCCCTTTATTTATCTTCGCAGCTTGTACAGACTTGTCTTTTGACATGTAGAACAAGAGTAAGCTCCACAGGGCTCCTGCTTCCTGACCTTCACACTGATGAATGGAGATTGCACAAGGCTGCGGCTCTGCCCTTGCAGGCAGAAAGTCATTCAGTGTAGCTGAGCCAGCACAGAACGAGAAAAACTCTGCTCTGCTACAGTATTTTTCAAGTCACATGTCCTTCCCTAGGCCATGGCCAGCACTGTTACACATTAACTCGTGTTTAAGGCAGGGAGCAAATCCCTCACTCCACTGATGGGAGTGACAACATTCTCAGGCTCTCTTTTTCCAATTTCTGTGACGGGACAGGGCAAGCTGGTAGTGAACTCTAGAGTAAACCCAGTTACCTAGCCCTTTCTTCTAATACAAAAACCTTCTCCAGATATTCTCAGAGAACTGAACAGACAGGCACACCAAACAAATTTCCTGCAAATCTCATTTGCAGCAAATATAAGAAATCCTAAAGACAAATGCATGATAACAGTGAGGATGGACAAAAATGTGAGTACTGGAAAGTACAATAATTGAAGTTACATAAGTAAGTTTATTCAGACTGCATCTTCAATTACTTCTTTCCCCCTAAAATAGAATAAAGTTTTCATTCTCTTTTCCATCCTAGTAATTAATTATGATGGCCTTCTCCGGGTAGCAAACCTGTTTATTTTGGGAAATGAAAAATGCAACCAATATCTCAAAGGGAAGATCACTGTGAATGAGTCAGAAATCTGTGCTGTGGCTGAAACCATTGGTGCGGGGCCTTGTGAGGTAAATACTACGTTTTGTGATACATTCTTAGGAGCCATCAGCCTGGCTATTTCTTTCCCAGAAATAATTTACTAGAGTTTTTTATAATTATTCTCTCTGCATTAAACTTGTACACAAAAAATTGTTTTAATCTTTTGCCTTGGGAAACAATTTGTGTTTCTAGTGATCTACTTTCTGCCAGAGTTTGAGAAAAGGTTCCTTTGCTTCAATTCCACCATAGCACCACAACAGTAAAGGATTTACATGAATGTTAAATACACTCATACGTCCAAACACTTTGCTAGACTGAGACAAATTTGTATTCTGTATAATAAGGGCTAAAGTGGGCTGTGTGCTAGCAGCAGCAGGATATTTTGATTGAGTAGAAAGCAAAGGCTGGGACAAACTTAACTACTTACTTAGATGAGGACTTGCATGCAAAATACAAAAAAGTCACTCCTCAACAGAGTTGATAAAGTTATGAAGGAAGGAGAGAGCCGGGCGGAGAGGAACCTAATGACATTCGAGGGAAAGTGTAGAGTTCTGTACTTGAGGAGGAATAACCCTACGCACCAGTACAGGCTGGGGGTTGACCTGCTGGAGAGCAGCTCTGTGGAGGACGATGTGGGAGTTATGATAGACAGCAAGTGGACCATGAGCCAGCCATGTGCCCTTGTGGCCAAAAAGGCCAATGGTATACTGGGGTGTACCAAGAGTGTGGCCAGCAGGTCGAGGGAGGTTCTCCTTCCCCTCTACTCTGCCCTGGAGAGGTCACATCTGGAGCCCTATGTCCAGTTCTGGGCTCACCAGTTCAAGAGAGACAGGGAACTTCTGAAGAGAGTCCAGCAGAGGGCTACAAAGATGACGAGGGGTCTGGAGCATCTCTGTTATGAGGAAAGGCTGAGACACCTGGGGCTCTTTAGCCTGGAGAAGAGAAGACTGAGAGGGGACCTCATCAACGCCTATAAATATCTAAAGGGTGGGTGTCAAGAGGATGGGGCCAGGCTCTTCCCAGTGGTGCCCAGTGACAGGACAAGGGGCAATGGGCACAAACTGGTGCACAGGAAGTTCTGCTTCAACATGGGGAAAAACTTCTTTACTCTGAGGGTGACAGAGCACTAGAACAGGCTGCCCAGGGAGGTTGTGGAGTCTCCTTCCCCAGAGATATTCAAAACCTGCCTGGATGCAGCCCTGTGTGACCTGCTCTAGGTGACCCTGCTTTGGCAGGGAATGTTAGACTAGATGATCTCCAGAGGTCCCTTCCAACCCACACCATTCTCTCTTTCCATGATTCTGTGAAAGATCCAAAAATCTACTGATGTTCAGTATTAGTCAGAAGGCTGGAGTGTTTTCCCTAAGTGAGTCTGAGCAACATATCAGTGAGGAGAACTACTTCAGTGAAAGTATAGTTTGATACAATTGTTTTGCTTGAAATTAGCTTTGATGATGGAGAAAAGACATCAGATGAGAAATGCTGTTAATCATTTATCACAGGAAGATACCATTTCTTGTGTGGAAAATCTGCCTGATAAGATGATGGCTAGAAGGAGAGCATGAACATTATCATACATTTAATATCTGGAGTAGAATAGATGATTTCTTAATACTGATGTTAACCATGTAGTGAAATTTTCCTACCGAAGGGTACTACCAAACTGTAGGGAACTAAGGTCTTTATCAGGCTGAGGCCACTTCTATTTATTATTAATATTCCACAGGATTATTTTGTTGTTGCAAAGTATTTTCTTCAAAATCAAATATTTAATCATAAATGACCTCTTAGACACAAGTCTTATAAATGAAACATCTGCATGGAAGTCTGCTGGGGATCCTGCACTTTGTTTTCCCCTGCAAGAAGAAATGGACTGAATTAATATTAGCAATCAGTCTTAATCACTGCATAGTTTCCTGCTCCCTGAGTTGCCCTTTGAAGCTACTTTCCTCAGCAGAGAACAAGCAGAGAAACAAAACCAGATTGGCAGGTGAAACTCCACTCCTGAAAGTGTTTTATGAGCTATTCTGATGGCACTGACACAGTTCATTGTTCATGTAGGAACCAATCTGCAGTCAGAAAAAAACCCCAAACCAAATAAAGGTCAAGCATTGTTGTTGCTCTGGTGATCCGAAGAGAATACAATGCTAGTTGTCAGCTTTTGTTTTTTGAAATAATGTCTCACTATCTGATACAAACATTTACTGTCTTGTTTTGCAGCTAGTTTGGAAGTTCAGTATATGCTTTCCCTGGTTAAAAACTGCGCAATCTATGTTCAAGTCCCAAATCTATGTGAACGTATCTAAATTGCTGTTTCAATCTAATATAAATTGGATGTATTTTAGTGCTAAATGAGATCCAGATCTGAGTTGGCCATACTCCAAATTTTCACTGAATGCATGTACCGGTGTATAGAAGTCTCATTCACTCAGAATAATGAAAAAGAGTATTTTAACAAGTTATGTCTCTAAATTATGTCTACAAAATATTACCTTTCATTATGTTTGGGGTTCCCCCACACACCCTGCCTGTTAGTACACACAGATGCTCATTCTAGGGCCTTGCAAGATGATTGACTGACAGAAGGATATTAACCAGGCTGTCAGTAGTCTTTGATGTGAAGCCTGTTGTCGTAACAAAAATGTTTATCAGTCAACTCACTTTCTACTTATCTGGTTTATATGCACATCAACAAATATCATGCTTGCAGGTAGCTGAAAGAGGAGAGTGAGATCTGGCAGTCTGAGAGTAGTCACTAGTATTACATGTAAAGGTGGATCACAGGTTTTCATTTGCATGGGAAGCAACCAAAGGCCAAAGGCCAACCTTGGCATTGGTTCCTATAAGTTCTGGTTGTGTGAAAGATATTGGAAGCTGGTTTTTGTCCTATGGCAAGAATAACTCTATTGCCTGTTCATTGAGCTAGGTCATCCCCAAAAGAAACCAGTCAGTGGGAGATGGGTGGGAGCTGTGTCTTGAAGCATTTTGAAAAATAATACCTTTATGTTTATTTTTTCTTAGCGAGATTATGGTGGTCCCTTGGTTTGTGAACAAAACAGGCTGAAGATAGTAGTTGGTGTCATTGTTCCTGGCCGTGGATGTGCTATTCGAAATCGTCCTGGTATTTTTGTTCGGGTCTCATATTATTCACGATGGATACACAAGATTATGATGACCTATAGAAAACCCTGAAAAACTCAACAACTTCCATTCAAAGATAGATTTTGGACAGCACAGAATTAATGTGTAAAGTAAAGATCAACAATTTTTTAACTACTTGATAGTCAAGTTTGTTGAGCTTCTTTTAATATTTATGGGTGTTTTTTGGTGTTTTTGTCTATCAGTGTTGTTTTATAAATGTTGGAGTGACTTACAGTATATGCAAGTATGGCGACATATCTCCTGAAGATACTTGAATGGGTAAAAAATTTTGCAAAGGTGTTATTACTGGATGATAAATGGTTTTGTAGAAATCGATCATATGACCTCTTTTATGCTGCTCTTCAGATTATCTTAGAAGGAGAAACAAATTATAGTTTTATTTAACACATTTTATTCTTTCTGTGAGCCATATATTTCTCTCCATATATGACAAAAGACCTACTGAGAGGTATATGTATCTGTCAAGGACAGCATATATGATCATATTTCTCTTTCCCCCTTGTAAGAGGTCAAAGATTTCAATATTTCATTAAAAAATAATCTCTTTAGGAATTAATCTTTTCATTATTGATGGACTTTGACACAAGCAGAGTTCTCACGGAAGTCAATATCACTTTCTTTTACACTGTGCTTATAGACTCTAGTTCTGCACTTGTTCCTTCAGTGTGTATGTGGTCCCCTAACAGATCTCAAAACCCCTTATAGATGAGGGAAGAGACGTAGAAGTGGATTGGTTAGTAATATCTTGATCATTTGTTTGAAGTTAGTCCCAGAAATAACTATGAATTTGCAATGCTAAGGAGAGTATTTCATACATTCTGAAAAATTAATCCTGATTAGCTACTGGCAGACTTTGGCCATTAAAAGAAATTTCAATCAAAAACTTCCTTAACAGCCCAAATCTTCCTTAACAGACAAGTGCTAAAACTTCAGTTAATTCCAGTTATTTCATGAAAGTTACTCTGTATTTAGAGCGGGAAAAAGAATAATTGAATCTGGCATCTGGCTGAGACTTAGTACTGGGAAAAGTAAGGTACACATTAATAGTCTTTCAGAGACTTAAGATCTTTACTAAAACCTTGCATAGATTTGGACAGAATTATGTCCCTTGTATAATTCCTTTCAGGGTAATAACATTATTGCAGAGATTGCTATGATCTTGTATGTAATATGGAAAACATCGCTGATAGTTTAGTAGCTTGTGTTTCCTGCCTCTTTGTAGAACCATCATTTTCCTTTATGTTGATGGGGAAAGGGAACAAATAATCAGCATCTACAGAAAACGCTTGTTCTCTTTTAGGCATTTATTGTATGACTGGAGGAATTATACAAATATGTTGTTATAAGTGGAACCAATTACACTCTAATTCTGGAAAACTGATACAACATATATCCAATTGTTAGTTTTACTACTGTACATGTAATTGCATAAGTAACTGCACTGTTACTTCACTTGTGACTATGTAATTGTAAATGTTTCCAGTAGCAAATTGTATGGTATGTGTCCCATATCTAACTACATAGCCGCTAAGCTGACATCATGGTGTAGGTTCAGAAGACACAGGGTTGAATTCTGCCCTGGCAGAAAGTAACCACTTCAGGGCAGCTGTCCCGGGAGGCAGCCCTCATGTTGACTCACCAAATTATTTTCTTCAGCAGTGCACTTTGACTTCAGTGGGACTCAAATATGCTTACATCTCCTGGTAAACTGGGATGAGTTTCAGCCCATGCTTATGTGGCTTGGCTTGCTGACATTTGTGTCAAGCATCCAGCAGATTCTACTGGCACATAGGAAGAAATCTTTCAGCAAGCAGCGCTTCTGAAATTCCTCCTGATGTAAATAGTCTCTTTGGACAAGATGTGACTTCTCTGTACAGTGGATCTGAGGTTGTGGATGCTACGCAGATAGTCTGTCTCGACATATTCTGGCTGCCTCTGAAGGCTTATGCTCTTTTTGGTCTCTGTTCCTTACCAGGCCTAAAGAGGGCAGGATTTAGCCTGTTGTATTTACAGTTAATTATTGCCATGTATGTGAAGAGTGTATTCTTTCTAAGTGTATACTGACCATATCTTATTGAAAGGATTAACTTTTTAAGAGAGACGTTTAAAAAACTCCAAGTGAGTTTTGTTTTCAGTCATAAGTAGAATGTGGATAAAATATATAATTCCATGTTCACTCTTTGTATTCTAAGAATTGTTATGTGCTCAGTGTATTATATTTGCAGGCATTTTGCTATGTCTATCTAAAAAAAAAACGAATCCTAAAATAATTTAGTTATAAGCTTCTGCTGTGCAGAAGACTGTGATTTTTATATATATATATACACATATATATATATGATAAAAATACTGTTTTTTGTTAGACAACGTGTAAGGATTTTTACCTGTTTGTTCTGGGCAGTGCCTCAGTAAAATAAATTCTGCAGAGTTGATGCTCCAGAACTTAACATGTTCGTATGCACTTGCTTATCAGTTGCTTTTGCTCTCCTTATCCCAGTATGGAGGGCATGTGAGACTCTGAAGAGCAAGGGAAGAGAAGAATAATGATATGCGGTAATGAAAATTTGTACTTCATTTATTCCTGTGAATATTTCTTGTTGGTACCAATGGTACCGTACCAGGCAACTGTTATAACTACAGGATTCTCTTAAGAAAGGACATTCTATAGATATTTCTTCACTGTTCTAATACTTTTCTCTCTGTAACAACACAGGAACATGATCTAGTGCCCATCTAAATTGCTGGAAAGCCTGTTACTAACTTCAGTGGCATCTGGGCTTTACTACACAGATGTGGTTTTATTAATACTAGAATTAAAGGGTACAGAACTTAAATTCTTGTCTAAGGACATTCTTAAACTCCATTGAATTTCATCTTAATTCTCCTTACTGTAAGTAATCCTTGGTCTCTGAAAAGTGTAATAACTGGATATAAAATTTTGGAATCAAAACCTAAGAGCTGATTTTGTGCTACTGAAGTTAGTTTGACTTAATTACTGATTTTCTTTGGGCATTGGAACTGGCTGATGCTTCTTCCTTTCATGAACTAAACCATTTTTCCCTTAAAAAAGCTTTTTTTCCCTATCTCTTTTTCTCTCATAAACCTCATGACCCCCAGAGAAACTGTAGCTCTCATTGGGAATGTACTGGTCTAGATTTTTGCTGCTACTGCTGAAATCTTCTTCTTTAGTTTAAGATTAAAATTCTCTGAGGCATTCTGCAAACCCTTGCCGCAGGTAATGCCAATGTACTTGACAGAGCTACTCCCTTGAGTTACAGCTTTTCAGATGAGGGTCCAAGTATATCTCTGAGGGTTGAAATCTACTCAGGCAAATTGTCCCTTGAAATCAGTGAATGTGATTGATTGTCAAAACAGCGGGGGGCTGAAAGTTGCTCAGTGCTTTTCCCTATGGCCACATGCTGAACTACATGCATCCTTGTACGATAAAAAGCACACAGATTCTCAACTCCATGGCAACTTCAACAGGAGGCGAAGCTTTATTGCCATCCTTCTGGAAGGCTGGTTGTAAACTAATTGACCCCCATGGAACCAGTATGAAACCTATTGGATTTGTTGTTTAGCCTTGTTTCCTCATCAATTTTTTTTCTTCCTCCCTCACGTGCACTGGTATATTATTGTTTTATGAATGTTGGGGCTGCTGGCAGGAACTAACATGGCTTTTCACCCTAAAATTTTACAGTGTTCCTTTTTAAACATACTCTTGGGCATTTATGTATGGTGTTTCCTTGCATGGGATCTAACTTCAGGGAGCTGACTGTGGAATTCAGTGTATGGTAAGAGTATTTTTTGATATTTAAGTGGGAAAAGTAATGCTCCCGTTAAATACAAGTAGCTGAATGCCTAATGAACAGGGAACACTGTGGTTATAACTTGTATTACATATCTTCTGTAATTAACGGCATCTTCATTAGTTAATAAAGTTGGTATTTTTGTAACCTTGTTTACTCTTATTATTCTTAATAAAATATTTTATAAAAAACCCAACTTAATTAGCATTATATTTCTTATTTAAAGAAGAAGGTTTTGAACCCCATTGCTAGGATCTCAATTTTAATTTTGGTGAGGAATTTTAGTGTGCAGAGTAAGAAGGACAGGTACTTTAAAGATCTTCATGTCTCCAATAGCAGAATGTCACATAAAATGAAAGATACAGCCAAATCCATGCTGTGATCCTGCTGAGTCTCCCCAAGAGCTTTCTGATGGAATTCTGTACTGAGAATGGCCTAAGCACATTATGGAGAGAGTATATTTGCAGTGGAAAAGATGTGCTTAACCTAAACATGAATATTTACCAAAAGGTTTGTAGTTCCTTAAAATTTCAGTGTGAAAGTCTTGGAATTTTAAGTATTTATTTTCATAGAATCATAGAATCATTTTAGTTGGAAAAGACCTTTAAGATCATCAGGTCCAACCATTATCCTAACACTGCCAAACCCACCACTAAACCATGTCCCTAAGTACCACATCTATACATCTTTTGAACACCTCCAGGGATGGTGACTCCACCCCTCTTTCAGTAAAGACATGTTTCCTAATAGCCAATCTAAATCTCCCCTGGTGCAGCTTGAGGCCATTTCCTCTTGTCCCGTCATTAGTTACTTGGGAGAAGAGACCAACACCCACCTCACTACAACTTCCCTTTAGGTAGTTGCAGAGAGCAACAAGGTCTCCTCTCAGCCTCCTCTTCACTAGGCTAAACAATCCCGGTTCCCTCAGCAGCTCCTCACCAGACCTGTTCTCCAGACCCCTCACCAGCTTCGTTGCCCTTCTCTGGACTCGCTCCAGCACCTCAATGTCTTTCCTGTACTGTGGTGCCCAAAACTGGACACAGCACTTAAGGTCTGGTCTCACCAGTGCCGAGTACAGGGGCACGATCCCTTCCCTACTCCTGCTGGCCACACTATTTCTGATAAAGGCCAGGATGCTGTTGGCCTTCGTGGCCACCTGAACACACTGCTGGCTCATGTTCAGCCGGCTGTCAACCCAACCAGCACCCCCAGGTCATTTTCTGCTGGGCAGCTTTCCAGCCACTCGTCCCCAAGCCTGTAGCGCTGCTTGACCTGGCACTTGGACTTGTTAAAGTTCATACAATTGGCCTCAGCCCATTGATCCAGCCTGTCCAGATCCCTCTGCAGAGCCTCCCTACCCTCAAGCAGATCAACACTCCTGCCCAACTTGGTGTCGTCTGCAAACTTCCTGAGGGTGCACTCGATCCCCTCATCCAGGTCATTGATAAAGTTATTAAACAAATATATATATATATATTAATATACACTTCAGGAAAGTGTTCCCCTCACTGTATCACTTAGTACTCCCAACAGTACAAAAGATGATGCAAAAGAGACCAATAACTTGCACAAACCTAGGTGCTGCTGCTGCACTTACTATCAAAACCAGCCAACAGCAATAGCCAGCAAAAAAGGAAACAAGCAACACCCTTACTAGCCCCACCAGATTAGTGCATCTGTCCGGCTGAGTACTCTCAAGCTCCTATAGCATCACATCATTCTGGTTCAGTAAGTTCAAATAAGGGACAGTAAGTTCATTACTTTTTTTTTTTTTCATTATCCAGCTGAAATTTTAAAGTTCTAAGCATTTCTGGTTACACAGCGATTTTGATGATTTAAACATATATTTGCTAAAAATTCCAGCTATATCAACAGTGAATCATTATTCAAATAAACTTATGTGCAGGGTGTTTGAAGTCTGATTCTGAATTTTCCATGGTAAACATCATTTTCTTTTTGTGTGTAGTCCAAAAAGGGGATTTTCTAATTGATTAATGAAATCAATGGATTTTATAAAGAACTCCTGAAATCAGTGGGAAGCTTGCCAATAACTTCAACCATGCAGGAATACTTCCAAAGTTGTAAAAATCTAGAAATAGTCCATATGTCAAAACCATA